TTTTAGCTTATATATTTTTGTATTTGTTTGACAAGTTTATTTAGTTTTTTCCTTTAAAAATATCAAATTTATCTTTTGAAAATAAATTATATTTTAGTTTGACTTAATTTTGCTAACTAGATAACCACCACCTCACCAGGTTGCAAAAAAAAAAAAAAGTTAACCGCCTCACCGGCAAAATCATCAATAAATACTGAAAAACACTTAAATCACAATTTTATAAGAGATTTTTAGACATAATTTTCTTAAAATATGAAAAAGAAAAAAGAAACTGATTATGCATAAAGTACAATGGCAGAATCTTTGAATCTCATGTTGAAAGCGAGAGATTTTCTTCTGACTCCAAGCCACCAAGGATTAGAAATTCTTGTCAATCAACTCTCTTTGCGTCAAGAAACCATCGAATTTCAATCAACGTTTTCTCTCTACAATTCTTTCGCTACTAAATTCTCAGGCTGCTTATCCCAATCTTGAAACAATTTTTTTTGAAGTGTTCATTGAAGATTTAGTTTATGATCTAATTGTATTTAGAGATTTGATGGTATGTCATCATTTTTTTTTAAATACCAATGTAATTAAAAAACTTAAACTTTTTCAATTAGAGCAATTCTCATTTAATACTAAGAGGATATGTGATATTTGTGTGACAATTTTATTCAGTTTTTTGTTCCTTTCAAAATATCAAATATATCATTAAAAACAATAATCTTTTAATTTTTACGATATTTTAGTTAGCTAGATATCTAAAAAAGTCAATAACAACATCAATTATGTTAACTGATCTTAAATCATAAAATTTATGTCAATTATTATTAAGTAATTTAAATTAATACTATTTAGTTAATTGATACTATTTAAGTGGTTTAATACACTAATTTTTTTGTAGTGATGCAACAAGTCTTAATTTTTTTAACTTGCTAAATAGTTTAAATTATATATAACTTGCTAAAGAGTTTAACTTTATGTTGCAACATTTAAATAACACGGAAAAAATCAAAGATCCAAAATATTCAATTCTGGCGAATTAGACGGTTGACATGTGACGAATTAGGCGGTTGACATGTCGATCGAATACATATCGTGAAGCATATTTGTTAATGTCTCATCCTTCGTATTAACATAAGTTTTTGAATTATCTTGTTGAATGAAGATAGTTTTTCCAACATCTTCTCTCGGCCATTTCTAACAAATTTTCGGAAGAATTTTGTCAATCAAACATCTTTTTAATATCCTCTCTCTTGATGAAGACCATTGGTTTTAATTCCATGGTTACCGCCTCTATATTTCTATTTCTTCATTGAGATTCTTGCATGGTAACGAATGTAAATACTCCAATTTTGCTGGAAAATATCTCATTTCCTTCTCCATCAAATTTTGGTCGAGCCAAAGCATTTAAAAACATTAATTTTCCAATGTATTTTTTACTTTGACATGTACGTAATAGAACTTCTTCATGCATAAGTAGATAATATTTCTATGTCTTCTTGGTCATGTAAAACTATTTCTCGTCAATATGTATAATATTGTACATATCAACAAACTTTGGTTCATGAGGCAAAGTTTTCTTATTGAGCATGGATACGTAAAACTGTAAGAAGACTTTGTAAAAAGAGGAGGATGATGATGATAGCATTGATAATGATAGGATGTGTTTTACAAGAATTCAATGGGATGAATGTTGATGAAAGCAAACTAACACAAGATTCAAGATTGGATTGCTTCAAAAATTACTCTTTGAATTGTAGCAATCATAGTAAACTTTGTTACCAAGAGTGTCTCACAAAATGCAAGATTGTC